AGCAATGAAAGGACTGAAGGGACATTTCTTGTTTAGTTTTTACTTGCTACAGCAAACAATTTGTTCAAAGGACAACAGAAGTATTACTCCAAGAACTGTACATTTGTAAACAATCAAAATTCACTTTGTTTTTCAAGAAAGCTCAATCACCAAACTCAACTGAAGAACATGTCAGAAAGCAGATAGTATAAAATGCCCAAAACTTGGCTTCAGCAAAATTCAATTTGCAATACAAGACTGACTGTCCTCCTTCAGCAGCTATGAGGATATTCCCAATACCCACCACTGATACTGGGAATGTAAGAACTGTAGATTCATGTCACATATGGAATTTCAAACAATTCTTATTCAGAATGAAAGCTCAGGTCTCATCAATCAAAAACACAGTAAAACCATTCTGGTGCAAATGTAGCACCCGTATGGACCTTTAAAACCTTTGTCCAGTTCTCAGGGAAATGTACGAGGGTAGTGAAGGTCAGCATTAGACATAGGAGATAAACATCACCAACTTTTCCAGGGTAAGATACCTGTAAAGCCTTTCACCCAACGATCATTGATTAAATACCAAAACTCTGACTCACTGGAACAGAAGCAAGTGTACTGACACATGCAGGAACCTAAGCCAAGTCTGTGAGAATTCAATTCTGTCACACCTTGGGATGAGGGAGCTCCCCTCTACCCAAAACCCAGACTCCAGTCTTGCTCACAGCAGGTTTGGAGAGCCCCTGTGAAATTCAGATGCAAGAAACACCAGCTGAAAACCAGAACTGAACATCTCAAAACCACTACATTAATAAACCAAACAGGTCATAGAATTCACTAAATATCACTTCAGCTATTGAAAAAGTATGTGTAAGGCTATGCATACATTGATAATACACCACTCATCTGAAAAACAAGTCACACACAATTTTACATTTGCATGAGACCTTTAACAGAAAGGTCTTAAAATGCACTTTAAAGAGTACTGGATGCACAAATTAAGAACAGGAAGTTAAGATCAATCAAATCTTCCTACAGCAAACAGAGTACTGTTTAGCAAATAATCCTACATGTAGGAAAAGAAACAAGTGTCATGGACAGAACTCTCCACAATTATCAGGAACACAGTATTAAACCACATTGTTCTTTTTTGAAGGAGAATCCAACAAGCCCAGTGTGCAAATGTCCATATATACTTCTTAATTATGGAAAATAAATAATACATAAAATAGGCACTGCCTCAACAGATTCAGACATTGGAATGTTATGACCAAAACAGAAAAAAAGAGAAAGAAAATTTGACTCCAGCACCAAAATTTTCAGTCTTACAGGAACATAAATTGACTTCCTGGAGAAACTCAAAGAAAAGGCCCTTGGTTTGCACGGGTGACTAGTATCTACAAACTAGTTACTCAACACTGCCATCACACTGGCTATATATGTATCTATCTATGGAGGAGCGAAGGGGGAAAGACAGCACAGCAGCTTTGTGTTTGTCTGCCCCCATGTTGATTTTTTTGGTGGTGGTTTTTGTTTTCTTGTTGTTTTTTAAATGCAGTTGCACTTCTTACCATCTTGGCACTGAAATGGCCATGAGCAAGTTCTCCTACAAAAGTAAGCTTCTTGGGTTGCGATCTCTGAAGAAGATGCTGTTTCACTCCTTCTATGGCTCTCATATAGTCTTCTAACAGCCTGTGAATAAAAATCATTCGCAGTTGGCTCACATATACACAGTCAGAACACATTTAATCATAGATGATGTTGAACACAATCCTTTTGGAGACTCTTATTTCAGTCTAAATAACAGTATTTAACCAAATGTGAAAACTGACCTAAGTGACCCTCAAAGTCACCACCAACTGGCTACTAATTAGATATGACTACCATCTAGCAATATTTGGTTTATAAGTAAAGCCTAAATTTAAATACCAAAGAAAACGGACCTCCAACTATTTTTCTAGGCAATAACCAAACCTTATTTCAGGAATGCTTAGAAGTACAGCAATTGAAGAGAAAAATCACGGCCAGTAAGGACCTTTTGGAGGTCTCTACTTCAACACTCTGCTCTGAAGCAGATCCAATTAGATCAGGTTGCCTGAGGTTTATCCCAGCAATTTGTTAGTTTCTCCATCCAGAGATGCAAAGTATCTCCATCCAAAGGTGGACATTCAACGATTTTGAGCAATCTTTTCCAATATTTGACTACTTTAATTGTGAAACGTTGTTTCACAGTATTTCATTGGAATTTTCCTTGTTTCAGAGTACTTTAATGTGGAAAAAAACACCTGCTGAATAATTCCATAATGAGATTCACAAAATGCCATCATTCATGGTCCCAAAAACAACGGTTCTCTGTTTACAGAGAGATATGGCTTGGGAATAGCAGTGATCAAGGTTTCTTTGTAGAGATGCACCTGCTCAGATATAAAGAAATGCCTCAGAGAGGCACGGTGTCACTGTATGAAACCCCTCAACGGGAACAGCCCAACATAATCAGCTTAGAAGCAGACAAAAACTGCTTGGTTTTTTTTACCTTGTTTGGAGGAAACCTCCTTTCCCAATACCTCTAATTCCTCTGCTCCTTGCAAACATTTTCTTTCACTTACCCAGTGCAGATAAAGGAAACATATGAGACCTAAAACAAAGTTTTACACAAACATCAAACTTCAGTCTCCTCTTCTTCTGAAGGGAAGCTTTTTCTTATGGATTAAATCTCCCACCTCAACCATCTTCCAGGACTCACCTTTCCCTGACAGACGCAGGGAAAACACATGGCTGGTGAAATGAACTACCATCAGTATTTCAGAAGTGTCTAATTATTCTCTGCAAAGACTTAATTCTCCCCTATGTAACACTCCTCACATCTAATGTGAAGAAAAGTTTTCTGAGAATGAGAAGTTTTGAGACTAAGCCTAACTCTCATCAAGCTACCACAGGTCCCTCTTGCTTGCTTAGCTTGCTTTTAAAAACAGCGATATTTTCAGTTGACTATTGGGCACATACATTATTTTTCTTTAAGTAGCAAACGACGACAGAAAGTTTTACAGCTCACACAATTCTCACACCAATATGAGAAGCAGAAAGAACTTACTCGTTTTCTTTTTTCCCACCCTGAATCCACTGCTTGAGCAAATACTCATAGTAGCTGTCAGCTCTGGCTCCCAGAGTATAGACACCCAAGTGAGTGAACTGCCCACTGTTGGTGCTTATGAACATAGGCACCAGTCCATCATTTTTCCCTGAGAGGGTGTGAACATGCTTCATCACCTCATCTACAGCTTTCTAAAAGAAAGAAAATAGCAAATATGAATTACAGGTATAAATGAGGCACAAAACTGTGGCTTGTAACTTCAGGCCAATAACAAACCTTTAACTATTCTTCCTCAAATTACCATCAGGGACCTCAGGTTCAGCTTATGCAATATATTTGTCCTGGGTTCAGCTACAGCAG